ATAGTAAACTTATGAATACAACATTACCGGCATTTCACACCTCTTAAATTAGTAATAGCAGGTTAGTATATAATTCATTTTGTTTTCAATGCAGTACTGGCTGAACATTTTCCAGGATCTCACTTTCCCGAATATTCAGTAGGTGACTTTGTGTATGTTTTGTTGCAGATGGCAACCAGAGTTCCTTTTCTTACCTATTTCCTAGGCAACTGTGCCTCATTTTTTCCTGCCATGGCACTCAGAATAAAAGGGAGAAAACTTGAAAATATTTGGGATGTCCATTTAGAATTCAGTTTAAAAAGTTATTAAGGGAAATGCAAAGGGTAGTATTTGTAGGCAATTCTCAAATAAAATATTTTCAGATCATTCAAAGAGAAACTTGAGCCAAATTATAACTTTTTCCAGGTGTTACTGAAATGGCTAAATGAAATTGATCATTTTTGGTGATAGTCTCTTCAGATTGTCGTTTTTTCCCCCTATTTTATTTGAAAGGCAGAGAAATAGACACATCAAGATCTTCTACCACCTGTTTCAATTTCCAAATGCCCACTGGAGACAGAGCTGGGCAGGCTGATGGCAGGAGACTGGAATTCAGCCCAGCTGCAGGGACCAAGTGCTTGAGCCACCACTGCTTTCCAGAGTGCTTTGCATCAGCAGGAAGCTGACTGGAAGAAAAGGACCTGGGACACAAACCAGGCATTCCAATATGGGATGCAAGGATCCCAAGAGGCAACTTACCTGTTATGCCAAATACTCATCCCCAGATTCTCGACAGTCATTTTCAGCATAACACTGTACACATCAGTAATAATAACTTTAAAACTTATGATTTCACAATTGTTCTAAACCCTACAATATTTTAACCTGGTTTTTCTTTTTTAATGAATTACATTGCTTTAAGTGACACAGTTTCATAGGCACTGGGATTCCCCCCCACCCATTCCCAAACCCTCCGCCCATGGCGGATTCCTCCACCTTGTCGAGTTTATTATAGTTCAAATTCAGTTGAAATTCTTTCATTGCAAGCATATACCAAGCACAGAGTCCAGCATCTTATAGTCTAGGTGAATTCAACAGTTTCTTGGGGAGACCATCTCTGGTCTGAAGGTAGAGCTGTCAGAGTATTATCCCCATTAATAAAAAGCCCCAACATAACTTTTTACTCTCCTTTATTGAATAGATTGTTGAAATTCTTATATAACATGAATCAGGATGGAGTTATGACAAGTGCTAAACCACTGTGTGTGACACCCACATCTTATATCAGAGTACTGGTTTAAGTCTAGCTACTCTGCTTCCCATTCAGGCTCTGCTAATGTGTCTGGAAAGTAGCCAATGGTGGCTCAAGTACTTGAGTTCCTGCCGCCCATATGGGAGACTGGAATGAAGTGCCTAACTCCTTGCTTCAATATGGTCCAGCTATAGCTGTTGAAGTCACTTGAGGAGTGAGCCTGTGGGCAGAAAATATTCTCTCTCTCTCTCTTTCATTAATTATGAGTTTCAAACAAATAAACTTTTTTTTTAAGTAACAGAATGTGTTCACTGGAAACTTTCTTACAAATTTCCAGTCATGTGCCAAGCTCTTAGCTGTCTCTTCGTAGCCTCCTTTGATTCCTGTTATGGAATGAGTAGGATTTTTCTCTCCAAAAATCATGACATTGTTTGAACTCTGATGTCTTGATGCTACTATCTGACTGAATAAGGGTGGAGACTTAATCTAACGATGGCTCCTGGAAGATGGGACCAGTGGGATGTCTTTGGGTTGTGGAGGGCATGTCCTTGGCCCTGGGAGAGTGGTTCTTTTAAGAGGTTTAATTACTTGAGTTCAAGTTCTGCTTCACTGTTCTCTCAGCTTCCTGGCTCATTATGTGATTGTGTCATGTATCCAGCATGACCAGCCTCCTTCAGATGCCAGACTCTATAGCCTCCAACTGTAACATGGTATACTCTTTTCTTTCCTTAAGCTCTTCTTAAGTTTCTTAGTAAAAGTAAAAGAAAAAAAATACACCCAAGTTTCCCTCTTATCGCTTCCCTGACTCTGAGCATTCGAGACCTGGAGATAAGTGAGCCCTGGCTGTCAGGTTTGATAGGAACACACTTTTCAGCGCACGCTTTCCTGGAGTGCAGAAGGGAAACTCATTAAAAAGAATCCGATAGCTGATTTCTTATAGTTGTTTTCTTTCCATATCTCCTGTTTTGAGTTTGATGAAATAATTGACTTCCATCTTTGCTCCAAGGAAACTCACAACCAACTTCAGTTCATGAAAATGCTTACTATTTACAATTTTGTATAAAATGTGGTTTTGAACAGAACTGCAAATCCTACGAGAATTTCCTAACAAAGAAATCTCTGTATTTCTGCTGAAAGCTGGAGTAGCTGTGAGATACTAATTAAGTTCAACAGGGAAGGTGTCTGAGGAGGTGTTGAGCAAATCAAGAGCTGTGAGGGTAACATTGAAGTCCAATTTCCAGAAAAACAATCTGGAGATAATTCAGTTCTGATTTCAATAGGGAGCAAAGTGGACATTATTTTAGCCTGCATGTGTGAGAGGGGCTGAAGAAAATGACAATGTTTGTGCAGTTGGATTAGGGAAGAAATGTAGAAGCAAGCCATAAAGCAGGCCAGCATTTGTACATCAAAAGTCTCGCCCATAGGGCAAGCTCCTGCCTTTGGCACCAACATTCCTGTAGAAGTACCAGTTCATGTTCCAGTAACTCCACTTCCAATCCAGATCCTAGTTTATGGCCTGAGAGAGCAGTGGAAGATAACTGAACACCTTGGGCCCCTGTACCTTATGAGAGAACTGGAAGAAGTTTCTTGCTCCTGGCTTTAGATCAGCTTAGCTCCATCTGGCCAAGATATTTGGGGAGTAAACCAGCAGATGGAAGATCTCTCTCCTTCTCTTTGTAACTCCGCATTCCAGATAAATAAATAGGGCCTGATGTGGTAGAATGTGGCTGGAGTCTTTGCCTTGCACTTACCTGGATCCCATAAAAGTACTCGTTCGTGTCCAGGCGGCCCTGCTTCCCTTCCAGCTCAGTACTTGTGGCCTAGGAAAGCAGTCCAGAATATCCCAAGGCCTTGGGACCCTGCACCCTCATGGGAGATCTGGAGGAGGCTCTTACCTCCTGGCTACGGATCAGCTCAGTTCTGGCCATTGAGGCCACTTGGGGAGTGAGTCAGTGGACAGAAGATCTTCCTCTCTCTCCTCTGTGTATCTGACTTTCCAATAAAAATAAATAAATCTTTTAAAATAATAAGTAAAGTCTTTCCCTAGTTCAATAAACATGTTAGCTGGGTCCCAGTCCTCTCTTTGTGGCAACTTAGGAGAATTTTTTCTATGTTGCACTAGTGCTGGAAAAGAATTCCATATCCAGGAAGCCCTCCAGCCACCAACAAGGTTGGAGGGAATACTACAGTGGGCTGTAGTTAAATCTGAATGTAGTTAAATCTGAATGGCTCTCAGTTTGTTCCTGATATGCCTACCTGGTCTGTTAGGTAAACCATTTTCAATAAACTTGGCTAGCATGCTTACTGCCACTCTCTGTCTTACAACTGAAATTCTTTTCCTGAGTACAGACAACCTTTGATCAGTCCATCTCCCAAAACAATTTCATTTCTTTGATTATGGTAGCTTCTCACCCTATCTGCGAGAAATTTCTCCTATTCAATATTCAAGGAGCATTGGCTCTCTATAGAACACACTTCACACCTTTGGGAAGAACTGGAAGATCCCCAGGGCTCTGCATTCCCAGACTCTATCCACTCAAAGGGCTTGTGTCTCTACATGTTTATCCAATTGTCTAACAGAGATGGTGTCGCACGCCCTGACGCACTCTGCATGAGGCTGAGAAAGTTTCATTGATGCATTTCATTGAAAACTCTGAGATTTTGGAAGCATTAATATCAGATGCTTTGATGTTGCTGGACTCTTTCTCAAGTAGTAGGAATTCTCTAACTGGCATTTCATGCCAGCTTGATGATCATTTACAAATACAAATATGTTTTTATTCTTTACTTCCCTATTCTTTTTCCAATTCTGGGCATGTCTTCTAATTTCCCTTATAAATGGTTACAGCAAAACAAAGCAGTATTTGGGGGCAACATTTTCTCCAGTATAAGATTCATTAGAGTCTTAGATATCAACTAAAATTCTCAACCAATTTGAGACAATGTCTCAATACTCATATTAGGGCAACGAGCTTATGGCCAGGGATTCCGTGTAATACTGCATGCTGAGGGCCTGCACAAAGGGCCCATCCAGAGGGTAAAGAATGTTGAGTATCCATCCCCTACTGCCTTTCCATGAAGGAAAGGGGCTCATTTATGCTATTTGACCGAGACACCATTTACTTACAGTACTGCACATGCCCAGGAAGAGTAACTTTTTCAGATTTGCACAAAGGTTTTGCACAAGCTAGAGACCTTGACTATGTGGGATTATTTGGACCCTGACAATGAGGTAAGGAAAATTAAAGACGTGATAGAAATGAATAGCAATAGAAGTTCTCGTATTTTTTCTGTCACTCCAATGAATTGTGTGAAACTAGTTCACTATCTGAAAGGATTCACAGCTTGCTCTGAACAGCTTCATGGTAGCTAAATCCCCCAAACTAAGTGACTAAGTACACGTGGTCCCAATTCCCTCACTGGTTCACTTCCCTCAATGAATCCTGCCAAAACAATTGACATTACTTTTACCAAAAAAAAAAAAGTAATAATAATAATAAATAACAATTCAATAATTGATGATTCAAAAGGCTTTATTTCCAATGCAACCACCTCTGAAAATACAACTAAATGTATTTTCTTTCAAATGAAAAGTAGACTGCAGATTCTACTGTAGGATAAGGAGAAAAGAAAAAAGGATGCAATGTTTACTTGAAGCATGTCAAAATGCTATGGTGAGGAAAAGAAGGATTTTCTCTCATGAAACCATTACACTGAACAATATGTCCCAGGAAAGCAGCAGTCATCAATGTAGCACATTGCAAAATATTTAAGATTTGTGATAATAACATGTACTGCAATGGCACTCGGTGTGATTCTCCACTTTGGCGTTTCCCATCACTGTTGCCTACAGAGGAACAAAAGGCATGATAAATGATTACATGGACAGATGATAGCTACAGATAGATGATAATAGACAATATTGAAAAGTACTACAGAAAATTGTTTCTACTCAGTTCAATGAAATAGATAATTGTGACATTTATATACTCCTCCCTTCAAAGGGCATCTTTAATACAAAAGGTTAGATTTTCCTTGCCTAATTATTCTTCACTTCAACCAACATCCCCTTTCCATTTTTCCCGTTCTCATCTTTCTGAATAAGCCCAGTGTATACGCACAAAGCAGCTGACTCTTTTAAACATAAGGTTCAAATACCTAAAAAAAATATGGGTTACTGCACACCTCTGACAAGATTTTGTGGCTTTTCTCTGTTATTATTTCTCTGGTTGGACTGTCAGAGACCTTCTGGGGCCTTGAACTTCTTACCTTGGTAAAGGCTTTGGCCACGCAGCATGTGGCCTCTGAGGTGATGTTCTTGGGAACCAGCATTGTCTTCTTGGACCTAGCTGGAGTGGGATAGGCTCTAGAAAAGCAGCAACCCATGCACTGGTATATTGGAGCTCCCAGCCTGGAGAAGTATTTGTTTTCCTTTAGTTTGCATTCTGGACAACCTATCACAAGAAAAAGAAACTAAAGGGTAAAATAATCCAAAAACAATTCAAGGAAAAATCATGTATTGGTCTCTAACTATGGGATGGTAAATATTCTTTTTTTACAGTTAAAATATGTTTTGGTGAATGCGGATCTTCATCAGTATCTATTTGAATTGATGATAATTATTTTCCCGGAAAAGCAATTTTTGGAGGCACGCAAGGAAAATCTCAGTTGTAGTACTTTCTCCATTTCAATCATGGGTTTTCTGTCTCAGTGTTAATAGTACGCCGAGAAGAAGCACAAAATGTGATAGATGACAACACCACATTCATCTGGGGGAAGATTTTTGCCCAGAGGCGGAATGTTTTCTCCCTTTCTAAACTGGTGTTTTTTCCCCCACAGGAACTCCAAATTTTGACAGAAAAAAATATGTCAGAATTAAGAAAGCTTAATACATCCACAGAACCTGATACTCCATCAGGCATCCCCATTGGGACATGAGATTAAAATACTGCCATTTATCTAGAGAGCAATTGTAACCAATGGTAGTTCAAACTTTCAAAGCCAATGGAATTGTATCAAGTGCTGACTAAGATTTTTTTCTAAACAATACAGCAAAACAAATTTACTTAAGAAAATTATTTGTTTTTCTCACGTCTTAATTGATGTGAAAGTTTATGCACATAGGAAATATTAAATAGCCTCAATCTTAAGGGAGAAACGTAGCAAATAAATATGTGTGAACTGAATGAGGAGCTTTTTCTTTTTGTAAACCTCCGATACAGCATAATAGGAATCTATTTCAGATAAAAATATACAGTGTGCAATTGAAATGGATGTTACATATCATTTTCACTGTATATTTTCTGAATCTAATATAATTTTATGTTCACAGCCTACAAGTACCTAGAACATATCCAGCAGTGAAGGTTTATCACATTTTTTTAAAGAAATGGAAATATAATCAGTGGAGTTGCTATACATCTAGAAATGTGTTGTCCTAATTACTTCAAATCCAGGTTTGATCACATACCCTGCATTGCAAACTCGCCATCAGGAAAGGAATGGAGAATGTGCAGAAATACAGACAACGTGATCAGGATGATCGCTGCATGCTTCCTGTAGGAATCCATGGCTCTTCTGGAAAAAGAGACATGACAAGAAGAAAATCAGTCTGAAGTTGGCTTACTGATCATGGAAACGATCACTGGTCTTGACGCAATTATTCATAATAGTCATTGCATTCCTCCTCTAAGACCAGGAGCAAGCACGAATCCTCACTTTCATCTCTTCGTCAACATAGTATTGGAAATTCTGGACAGCACAATAAGGTAAGAAAAGGAAAAGCACATTGATAGGAAAAGAGAAAATAAATTATTGCTGTTCATAGATGTCCTGATCACCTATATGAAAGTGATAAAAGGAAGAAAAGTTCAAGGAAAACACAAGAACAATCTGTCAGAACTTGTTAGCAACTTCAGCATGATTTCACGACCCACTGCAAGGGCAAGGGAAGTAGATTGTCTTGTTGAACTGTACATATGGAATACATAAAATCCATAAAAATATTATATATTAATAAAAATTTAAGAATTATTTTAAAAACTCAATTGTATACTAAAAACTCAATTGTATACTCAATTGTATACTAAAAACCATAACATGGAAGCAAATTAAAAACACAGTACTACTTTCAATTGCTCCAAAAACAGGAAAATATTTAGGTGCAAATATAAAAAAATTTATATCTGAACTTTTACATTGAAAAATTACAAAATTCTGAGGAAATACAATCTAAAGAAATGGGAAATGCAGCATGTTCAATGCTTGGAAGTTACCAGCCCCTGGATCTAGCGTTGCGACATAGTGGGCTAAGTTGTTGCCAGGGATGCCAGCCATCCCATGTGAGCCACAGTTCAATTCCCAGATGTTCCATTTCTGATTCCAACTCTCTGTTAATGCATCTGGGAAAGCAGCAGAGGATAGTCCAAGTGTTTGGGCCTGAATTTTCTTGTAGGATATGTGAAAGAAGCTCCTAGTTTCAGTTTAGCCAGTCCAGGTTATTGCAGCCTGGACTGGAATGAACCAGGAATAAAAGATCTGTCTCTCTCAATTCTGCCTTTCAAATAAATATAATAAACCTTTTTTTAAAAGACTTTATTTATTGAAAAGTCAGATATACAGAGGAGGAGAGACAGAGAGGAAGATCTTCCATCTGATGATTCACTCCCCAAGTGAACACAATGGTCGATACTATGCCGATCTGGAGCCAGGAGCCAGGAACTTCTTCCGGTATCCCACGCGGGTGAAGGCCTTGGGCCATCCTTGACTGCCTTCCAGGCCACAAGCAGGGAGCTGGATGGGAAATGGAGCTGCCGGGATTAGAACCGGCGACCATATTGGATCCCGGCACGTTCAAGGCGAGGACTTTAGCCGCTAGGCCACACCGCCTGGCCCATAATAAACCTTTTTTAAAAATGCCAGTTCTCTGCAAATTAAACTATATGTTTACATAAGATATTCATTAAAAAAATCCATCACAATTTTTGTAGGCATACTTAAGATTGTTATTACTATGGAAAACGATATTGACAGGCAAAGGACCTCGAAGAGATAAAATTATTACAAAATTGAGAGACTTATTACTGTCAGTATTAACTCATGCATGACTGCAGAAATGCTACAACCCAGCAACAGACCTACAAAGGGAAGGGCATTGGGCCCAGTGGCTGAGACAGCACTTGGGACACCCTCATCCCCTGTCCAGGACTGAGTTCCGGCTCCATGTTGATTCCAGCTCCCTGTAGTACACTCTGCAAGGCAGCAAATGATGACACCCTCCGCTGAGTGCCTGCCATTCACACGCGGAATCCAGACGAGAGTTCCAGGCTGCTGGCTTAAGCTTGGTTAGCTAGACAGGTTTTAGACACAGCAGAAGCATAATCCATAAGAAGGAAACATTGATAAATGGTTTTTCACTCAAATTGTGAATTAATCCTCTATTAAGAGGATGAAAATGCCAACCAAAGACCTGAATAGAATGTTTGTAATCCACATACCCAACAAATGATGACTATCTAGCAAATATAAAGAACTCCCATAAAAGAAAAGAGAAAAAACATGAACAAATCGATTACACAATGTGCATTGCACTGAAGAAGATCTATACAAAAAAAAATGAGCATGTGAAAAATATTCAGCATCATAAATCACTAAGAAAATGCAACAAAAAAAACCCAGCAAAATACCACATACCTTCTAATGGGAATGACTAAAATTAAAAATAACGCCAAATACTGGCACAGATTAAAAAAAAAAAAACAACCCCCCCCCCTCCACAAAAGAAAACCACTGTAACTCAGACTTTGCTACCGTGACAATCAAACAGTAACTTACTCTGGAAAACAGTTGGGTAGTTTCCTACAAAACACACGGGCAGTCATTTAGCACGGCAGTTAAGACATGGCAAGGAATGTCCAGATCCTGTATCAATACACCAGGTTCAGGTCCTAGCTGTTTCTAATTCAGTCTCCCTTAATGTGAACCCTGGGGAGTAACAGTCCTGGGGGTCTGGCTGGAGTTTCTGGTTCCTGATCTTGCTCCGGCAAGGGCTTGTCTATTGCATTCATTCGGGAAGTGAACTGGTAACTATCTCTACCTCTTTCTCTTTCTCTCTTTCTCCCCTCATTCTTAACTCCTTCTACATATCTACTCATCCCCCCCCCCCAACCCATACCTTACACACACATGAAGTTTCTAACTAAGCATTTTTAAAAAAAAAAAACTAAATATTTCAAAACTGTTCTTACTTCTTAAAGTATTTGATATTGGTAGATAGTCTCACAGGAAGAAAAAATTTCTTTGCCTTGGGCCCAGCGCCGTAGCCTAGTGACTAAAGTCCTCACCTTGCATACGCTGAGATCCCATATGGGCACCAGTTCTAATTCTGGCAATCCCAATTCCCATCCAGTTCCCTGCTTGTGGCCTGGGAAAGCAGTAGAGGACAACTCAAAGCCTTGGAACCCTGCACATGTGTGGGAGACCCAGAAGAGGCTCCTGGCTCCTGGCCTTGGATAGGCTCAGTTCCAGTCGTTGTGGCCACTTGGGGAGTGAATAAGTAGATGGAAGATATTCCTCTCTGTCTCTCCTCCTCTCTATATATCTGACTTTCCAGTAAAAATAAAAATAAAATACATCTTTTAAAAATGTCTTTGGGCTTTTCAATCATTTCTCAGACTGTTAACATGATGTTCTGAGGGGGGAAAACAGTCTTAACTGACTTACAAAACTGCAAAAAAAAATTCAGAATCAAAATTGATTTCCTTTGTGAATTAGTATTATTTCTGTGCATTGATATTACAACTCATTTATTATGGAAATTCAGCCAGTATGCTATGAACAAATCTACCAAAATTAATTTAGACAAATATTCGTAAGAAGATCTTGGAATGTGAGGGGATATAGTCAATGTGCATCTTAGAATTTGCTTTGTAAAAAGAGGACAAAGATTAAAAGAATGGCTCCAATCACTATTTTTGTAGCTTACATGCATACACATACAACAAGAGAAGAATCTTCTAACTGCTGGTTCACTTTTTAAATGGCTCCAAAACCCAGGGTTGGGCCAGACCAAAGCCAGTAGCCAGGAGCCGGAAACTTTATACATGTCCTCCTTAAGGATTCAGGGGCCAGCTATTGCTGCTTTTCCAGGCATATTACCTGGGAACTTGACCTGAATGGAGCAAAAAGAGCACTATGGGTGCCCATATGGAATGCCACCATCACACGTGACAGTTCCATTTACTACACCACAGTGCCAGCCCAGAAGAAATGTATTAACCCTAAAACTATGTTTTTTAAAAGCATTTTCATGGGCCTGGCGCTATGGCCCAGTGGCTAAATCCTCGCCATCCAAGTGTTGGGATCCCATATGGGCGCCAGTTTGTGTCCTGGCTGTTCCATTTCCATCTAGCTCCCTGCTTGTGGCTGGGAAAGCAGTGTAGGACAGGCCAAAGCCTTGGGACCCTGCGCCCGCAGCAGAGACCCAAAAGCAGCTGATGGCTCCTGGTTCTAGATGAGCTCATGTTCCAGCCATTGCAGCCACTTGGGAAGTAAATCAGTGGATGAAAAATCTTTCTCTGTCTCTCCTTTTCTCTATAAATTTGCCTTTCTAATAAAAGTGTTTTTTTAAAAAGCCTTTTATGAGCTTTATCAGCCTAGTCAGCCTCAAATTTTTTTCTATTTTAAAATTTGGTAGAAAAAAATAAGAATCAGGACAGGAAAAATAATTACATTCAACTGGAATTTATGCTATTTTGCAAAATGTGTCCAAACTGAAGTCAAGTCAGATTTACTAACATCTCCTTTTTTTAGTATTGCAAAAGGGGAGTTTACCAACATCGTAGGCTTTATTCATGCAACCACAGATCATCTTCAGTGTCCACTTTACACTCTTACCACTTGCCACCCACCTTTTAAACATAAATTGCATCCAAGAAAATGTTTTCTTATTTTGTGCTGTTGTATTATCTCAGCTGTTAATCTGTCCATCCCAGAGTGATTTCTGGAGTTGTCCAACTACCAACATGGCTGTAAAGCTCCACGTAGTCCCAAAACGAGAATAATGAATTTTCTTACAGTGTTGGTCCATCACTTTTATTTTTGTTTGAAAGGCAGATTTACAGATAGAAGGAGAGACAGAACAATGTTCTGTCCTCTGATTCACTCTCCAAATCGCCATAAAGGCCAGAGATTAGCTGATCTGATGCTGGGAGCCAGGAACTTCTTCCAGGTCTCTCACATGGGTGCAGGGGATCAAGAACTTGGGTCACTCACTGCTTTCCCAGGTCACAAGCAGAGAGCAGGATAGAAAATAGAGCTGTCAGGATATAAACCAGTGCCCATACAGGATGCTGCTGTCACAGGACAGAAGATTAGCCTGCACTGCCATACTGGCCCAAAACCATCACTTTTAAAACCATGCTTGTGTGATCTCTTTTAATTTATCCAAACTTCAGCCAGTCAGTCTGCTTATCACTTCGTCCATATGAAAGTTTCTTAAGGATAGATATTATGTCCCTATAAGCTGCCACGACCCTAGCACAAATCCTTACACATAACGTATATTCAACAC